GGGGGGGGGGACTTTCACCGTCCTGCTCTCAAGGGAAGCTTCTGCACGGTTTTCACTGCCTGCTTCCTCTATTCCACTCCACTGAAGTCGCGTCTGAAAGCCCCCTAGACGTGTCCTGTACCCTGTGGGAGCCATTGCATGTGGTGGCTCAGCAAACCCTGGAACAGGACCTGGGTGCCTGTCCAGGTAGGGGCGGTCCACAGGGGTTCAGTCCTGAGGGCATCTGCAGGACGAAGACGACTCATCGGTCCACCCGGGGAATCTAGACAAGAGGCTGCCAGGCCCGTCATTCTACAGATGTGAAGTGAGGGGGAGTGTGTTCCGGGCACCGGGGCGTTTGCTCAGATGCCCCTTCCCTTAGCCTCCGTCTCCAAGGACAGTGCCTGGAGTGAGCGGGTCCTCAGCAGAACCCGGCACAGGGACGGAGCCTGTCCCCCCGCGTCACTGGGTCAAGCAGACTGTCCGAAAGGCAGCCCGAGTTTGAGTCTCGGGGTCGGAGCTAGAGAAGCTGTACTTTTTAACTTCTAAAAAAATGTGTTATTAGTTTTTACAAACCTCTGTACACTCAGTCCCCTTGGGGCGCCGCCCTGTCCACGCAGAGGTGAAGCAGCGCCGAGCCCTGGCGACTGGCCCGAGGCTGAGCTGTGGCTTTTCCCGCAGGGCGAGTCGGTGAAGTACTTCCTGGACAACCTGGACCGCATCGGCCAGCTGGTGAGTACGGCCGCCCGGCCGCGCCGCGGGGAAGGCGGGCGTGGGCAGAGCGGCTGGGGACTCGGCGTGCTCCTGGCATCAGGCGCCCCAGAGACTGACGGTGTCCTGCTGCCGCTGGGGCAGGGCCGAGGGACCTGCGGGCTGGGGCGAGGGCTTCGTCCGGGTGGAGGCGATTCCCGTCTTGTCCGTAGACCCTCGCTCACGGCCGGTTAACGTGGGAGCCGTGCTTCCGTAGGAGCCCCCGCCCGGTCCCCGTAGAGGAGACGGGATTTTACTCCCCGTTACGGAAAATTCAGACGTGCAAACAGGAAGGTAACGGTGGACAGTCACCATTGGTGACCCGTGTCGGTTCATCGCCCCCGCTCCCAGCAGCAAACCCCTCCTCACGATACTTCATCAGCAATGCTTCAGCCGGGCCTGGCTCGGGCTGAGCGCTGACCCGTGACCCCGGAGGTCAGGGCACCTGCGGGGCTGCGGCTGGGCCCCAGGGGTGCGGGAGGCGCCCATCAGTGACTCATCACTGATGCTTGTTTCTCTCCCTCTCCCTCTCTGAAATCAATAGAAACTTACTTTAAAATAATATTTTAGAGCATGTCTCTGAAAGGTGAGACTCCAAACCTCAAACCACAACCCCACTGTCGCGCGTGGAAATCGCAGCGATACCTTAACGCCAGCCCGTGGCCAGCCCGCCGGCGGAGCCGCTGCCCTCTGGCCGCTGGTCAGCTCCGTCCGGTCCAGTCGGTCGGTCCGCCCCGAGGTTTCTTCTCTCCCGCAGTTTCTCCCTGGTCTTTCCTCTCCCGTGTTGAAGTCACCGGATTGTCTCCCCGCCGGGTCCCCTGTCCATCCTGCGGCGTGGGGGGTGCTTTTTCTGTCCCGGCCACCCTGCAAATTGGGGGCTGGTCTTGGGGCGTCGTCGCCCCTGTTGGGTTTGGGGAGACCTCAGCCTGAGCGCCCGGGTGTGAGGGTCACGGAGGGAGGTCTGGAATGGGGCGCCCGTGAGACTTGTGCCCGCCTGCGTGGCGCCCCCGACAACACTAAGTACTGGAGACCTGAGCCGCGCTGGCCGCCTGAGGTCAGGCACTAGCTGGGCGCGGGGCAGGCGGCTCGTTCCCGAGGGGACCGGGGTGAGGGTGAGGCCTCCCCGGCCTGGCGACGCCTCCCGGGGCTCGCCCCTCGGC